ATATGCAGCAGAAATGTAGGTTTAAGAAAATAGTAGCTAGAACTTTGGGGAGTTTAATTTTTAGATTTGGGGTGCCTAGATAGCCTCTAAGAGGTAAAAGCATCAATTCCTTGGTGCACATTTCTTAGTAAAATTCTTCTACTATTTTCGACGTTTTAGGGCACACAATTATAACAGAAAGACTTGGAGAAATTATCTCAAGATAACCAAAAAAGAGTTAAAAGAGGAAAGGAGGCAGGTGTTCGAGAGCATTAATGGGGAGGCACAGGAAGATTTTCCTGAGATGAATTAACTGAGTTCAGTTTTGTGTAGTGAAAACGGGATGGAAATGGCAACATGGTATAAGGGGAACCATCCTAATATCCAGCAGATAAAAGGATATGAAGAGAAATAAAGCAGATAGTAAGTCAGTGGTGGAAGTTTAGAGTGTGGCCATTACTCTATATAAAATGTCACCTCCCATTGAGATTGGGGGAATTTTCAGCTTACAGCAGAAAAACAAATGTCCCAAGAGGATCACAGAGATCTGTGACTTCTCCATAAGCACTACATTCTCCCTGATTAAAACTAAAATGCTATAAAAGTGAATTTGAAAAGTGAAAATGGAATTTTGAAAAATACTCAAAAAATTAAATCACATACACCTATTACTTTCAATGGCAAAAGCTGCAATTACTTTTGCACCAACTTAATGGTTTCATCAGACATTAAGACATACGCATGTGTGCATGCATGCTAATTCTCATGGTTTGTTCTGGGCATGAATCTGGCTCTATTTTTTTCTGATAACCACTGACAAGAAGGTAGGCATAGCAGGTAGGATGATTCCCGTATTCACCTCGAAAAATTAACATTCAAACTATAGAGTGGTGTTTGGGGACCTGCATGAATTTATGAGTCACCTTTCCTCTTTATCTTTCACCTCATCTCTCCACAAATTCTATACACCGATGTCCTGGGACTTCTCATTCATGGTGCATTCCTTCAAACAGAAAGTTTTCTTCCCATCACCTTCTCCCCTGGGGATCTCATACTCCCTTGGGCTTTCATAAACAGTATTGCCTCCCTCTGCCAAGATTCTTACTAGCTTCAATCTCTCTCTTGAACTCTGGCTCTATGTTTCCAAATGTCTGTTGGATTTAACATAAATATTCAAAACCAGTTTAAAAACGCCATGTATGCTATAGAGCTGCAGGCCATTAACCTTAGCAAACTAACACAGGAAGGGCAAACCAAATACTGCATGTTCTTTCTTATAAGTGGGAGCTAAGTGATTAGAACTCACAGACACATAGAGGGGAACAACACACACTGGGGCCTACAGGAGGGTAGAGGGTGGGAGGAGGGAGAGGTTCAGGAAAAACAACTAACGGGTACTAGTCTTAATACCTGGGCAAGGAAATAATCTGTACGACAAACCCCCATGACAGAAGTTTACCTATGTAACAAACCTGCACATGTACCCCTAAACTTAAATGAAAAGTTTAAAAAGTGCCATGCATGAAACTGAACCGGCTGCCATATTTTCTAGTCCGGGAACTGTTGTTTCTCTGCTTCCTTGAATGTACCAGCATCTTCTCAGACACTCAGGCCTGCAGCTCTGAAGGTGTGACTCTTGGTTGCCTCTCCCAGCCAATTAATTGCCAAGTCCTGCTTATTGGCAATATTTCTCACATTCTTTCTTCAGTGACCAAATCTGTATCAGTGACCAAGCTATAATTTCAGCTCTGTTCATTTTCTTTCTCTTGTAATCTTGTTTACCTGCTGCTGAAGCAGCCATCCTAAATGGATACCACTATACTGTGCTATTCTATTGTTCAAAAATGGTCATGGATCTACATTGAAGTTCACTCTTCTTAGCCTGACATCAAAGATCCTCTGTTATCTCAATTAAGCTTACTTTTTCCAGACTTGGATCTTACTTCCTTTCTCTCCTTAACCTATGTTGGAGCTAAATTGGATTCCTCATATCTTGCCTGTGCTTTATACTTCATATTACTTATATACTATATACCCAGATACTTTATACCCATATACTTCATATTATACATATACTGTATACCCATATACTACCTTTATACTATATACCCATATACTTTATATTATAAGGAGCAGAATGAATTACTTGGAGGTAATACATTATATTATAAAATAGGTAATATATACCTATATAGTATAATATACCTATAAATTATACTTTATAATATACCTATAAAGTATATATAGGTAATATAAAGTATTACCTCCAAGCAATTCATTCTGCTCCTTCACTTAGGATGTCCATTTTTCCTCCCTGGACACACATTCTGAATTCTTACTATTCTTTAAGAATAGGCACAAATGTTACCTTATTAATTAAACTTTCTTCTTTTGAGACGAGTTGAAGGTGATCATTCTTTCCTTGAACTTGGACAGTATTTCATCTGTTGCTAAACTCTGGCATATTTATAACCTTCTAAGTTGCTTCTCCTTTTGTTTATATATTTTCTTCCTCAATTGATTGAAGTCAAACAATTTGACTCATTTACCTCTGAATTGCTCTATATCATTTAGTATAAGAAATGGTATAGGCCTTCCTTAAGGAATTTGCATTAATAGGAGAGAAGAGCACTCATGTGTGTAACTACCATATAATAAGAGTACATTCTGAGTGACTGAGGGATGGAAATAATTTTTATCTTATATCTCCGTTTGAGAGTGAGGACATTCTGTAGTCCACATAATACAATGTATTTGGATGAAAACTAAAAAATTCTGCCACAGCTATTATTCCTCCTAAGTCCCGGGGTCAAGCGTTGCTTAGCTAAGGAATCTGGGTGTCTTTTTATGGAAAAAAGTGAACCTACAAAAGAGATATTTTAACATAGAAGCAACACTAGTACACACATATACATTTTTAGGAGACTTCGTGGAAATTCATTTATTATCTCAAATTGAAAATAGTTGAGATTTAGGTTTGTCCCATTTCATTAAGGACTCACTAGTTGTAATGCAAAGTTGACTTTGTCCAGTTCTGCTGGCTTTGTCTTGTAGAATGGGTTAGACTTATAAAAAAATTTCACCTCTTTATTCTGGTGGAGTCAGAGATGAAATGATTATTTCTTTTTGCTTAAAAATGATTTTACTGCTGCATATAGCTTGTCTTTATATTTTTAGTTTTTAATACTTTAGCATAATCACTGTTACAGCTTTTTCATGCATAGCATCCCTGGCTTAATTTTGGCTATCACTGGTTCTGATAAATGAAACTCTAGTTAGTACTGTGTTCATCTAGTTACATAAGATAATGGCCTGCAATCTCCACAACAGGCATATATTAGATTTTTTTTTTTACTAGATCAGACTAAATACTTTTAATTTTGAGCTAATAATTTAGGAGTCGCTTTGTTGAGATTCTCACAAATAATCTAAGTTTCTAGTGAGGCTGAAAACCTTCAGAAGATTTACAGGACTCCTGGGGCGAAGAATAAACAAAGGCTGCTGATGCTAGTGCAGAATGTGAATGCAGAAGCATCACCAACTCCCTTTAGGGTGATGCGTTTATTTATGCTAATGATTTTATTTGTGTTCGCTGAATTCCAGCTCCTAACATAAAGCCATGAGTATTCATTGAGAAGTTACAAAATTTCTTGCCTAGTCAGTGAGGCATTGTTGGCTGAATCCTTTCATGAGGTTCATGTCACTTATCAGGAGGTTTGCAATAAAAGGGTCAAATTTCTTACATTCTTTTGGTTGCAAAACAGGACTTACATCCAATTGAAATCATCTATGAAAAACCTTTAAAGCTCCCACCAGCCCTCTGGGGCATTCTATCATTTAATAAAGATAGCTACAAATGTCCTACTTGTTGATGCTCTATGAAATTAATTTTAAACCTTTAATAGTAACATAGTAAATAGTTCAATACATTGAGACTTGGTCTGACAAGGGGCATTTGGAAAAGCATGTGAATGTTTTATAATTTGAAAGGCTCAGCTTAGCTCCAGTTGCTTTAAACATGGTATGTCCTGAGTATACCTGCTGAATTGAACTTTTCTCCAATCTCTGCTAAATATATCCTATATATTGGAATGCACTGCAGCTTCAGATCTGCATTCTGTTTCCCGTCAGGACTGCAGTACTCCCTCGAGCTCTGTTCTAATTGCCTTGGTCCTTGACAGTCCCCTCCTCTCTAGTCTTATTGGGCCGGACTAATTTTCTCTACCCCAGGTCACTTAGAGGGGCCCTGGTTCAATCTAGAGAGAACATGGACATGACTGTCCTTACCTAAGTATTACCTGCTTTGGCTGTTTATCTGCACTCTACACTTCCTCTTTCTTCTACCCTTAGGGTCAGATGTCTAGGATATAAAGGGTACCCTGGATAGACAAAATCTTCTTGAATGTCCTTGGACTGCTGGCACTGTCCCTTCTATGCAAGGTAGTCAGCTGAACAGCTCTCCTTATTCTGTAGACCTTAGCTAATTCTGCCATCTCAGTTAGTCCGATACTGCTTGTTCTGTACTCAGTGAGTTCCCTAGCAGTTGACTTTGGTGCTTATAATAAAATTTAATTATTTCCATTGTATCATGTTTTAATGATGAAAAAGATTCTTTGCTATTTAAAATATGGATCTTCCAGTTTATTAATTCCCAAGATAAGTAATCAATCAGTTTTTAAGGTGTGCTTTGGGTGAAAATACCTTATAAGACCATTCCCTGATAGTTGTGCTATCAGATGGACAAATAATACAAGGAAAGATGCATTAATAGATATTTCTATCAGAAAGACCTACTCTAGAAAAGACACCCCCTGAAACTTCTCAGTCTTTTTGTTTCATTTATGAAACAAACAATGAAATATTTAGTTCAACCAGGCAACAGACTTTTGAACTAGCCTCTATACTTGGCTGAGAGAATATTCTTGTGTTAGATGGAAGAACAGAAGCATACTACAGCAGACGATACAACATATGGAATTATAATGGACAATCAAGAAAGCTAAAGTAAAAGGAAGTATTACCTTGGGATCATGTATTCCAGAAAGCTCTTCATAGATCTTCTCACCTACCATGACAGCAGCCAAGTTTGCCGTGTATGTGGAAAGGCAAAACATACAGAAAATGGCCCAAAGGTTCATTAGAAACCTTCCAGTCCAACATTTTGGAGGTTTGATGGCCACCGTTCTGCCAAACAAGAGGGCATAACAGACGTTCAAGGCTGAAGAAAAGGAGAAGACTTTACTTCTATTTCGCCCCTTGGGAGTCAAACCAAATGGACTCTTCCATTCATATAGAGTGAGGAAGATGGCAGTGATGTGCAGAGCCACAAAAATCCCCAGCCACATTGTCCAGTGGAGTGGCCACATGAAGGCTCCAATGGGAGCTGCTGTATCTCGGGTCCTCACTAAGATGCCCAAGCTGGTAGAGAAGAAAGGGCTGGTGAAATCTATCACCTGGCTCCGTGCAGTATTGATGCTAAAGGAAGTGACTGCCATGTGGGCAGTCCCACTCAGGAGATCACCCACTAGCCCAGTCCAGTGCCCATTTTTCCAGGCTCCATACTTTCCATCCCCTACAATATAGAGGTCGAAGTCAAAGTTCATGTCTTCTGCTATCTTTTCCAGCAGATCAATGCAATATCCATAGCAGCACTTCTTGAATTTAATGGGCACTGTATCATTACTGCTATGGAGGCTGCTAAAAAGACTGTCCAATGTGGAAGCGTCATTAGTCATGGGGTCTAGACAGAGTTGGCCAGCAGGGCACAAGCCTTCATCATCTACCTCCCTTGTGAAGACAAAAGGATGCTCAATCAGGGTAACCACTCTCAAGTGTAGCTTACTTGGATGTTGGAAGTGGGTTTTGTGTCTCTGGGCCTGCTCTGGCCATATTCCATGGTCCATGACAATCTTTCCCCCCTGCCAGCTGCCCAAGCGTGTCCACATTGGCTTTCCCATGGGGTCATGTTGAAGATTCCAGATGAAAAAGTTGTTTTCTGAGCTGATGATGGTGGAACCTTTTACTCTGATGGAACCACTGAGGCCTCTGAAAGTAGTATTGGCTAGAAACCTGGGAAAGAGGAACAAAGGCAAAAACTAAGAAACAGAAGTGAGGCCAAAGATAGGAAGCAGTGTTCATCTTTGCTTCCCTGTCTTAATAAAAATAAATTTGAATTTTTATTTAAAAAGACAGTGCCTATAATTTCTTTTGATGTTAATAAGCTGGACTCATTCTCTATTATAGGAGTAAAGTCCTACTGCATTAAGTAAATGAGATTTCACTCTCAGGTTCTAATGTTCTAGCCAGGTGCTTGACTCTTATTCTTACTCCAAATGTTTTAATTCCTAGTTAAGAGATGTGTTAACCATTTTCTGTTGTAAACTGTTAATTGCATATTCTCACAACTTTTCAAACTATGGAGGTTTTCAGCACCTTTAAGGTATCCTAATTCTATTGTTGACTATGTTCAATTGTAACTACATCTTCTATGTATCTATGTATCTATCTATCTAGATATTTGGCACAGGGAATCAGATTAAAAAGTATGCATATACTTTAATAATTGCTTAAACACTGCATTCATAACATCAGAAAATAGCCAAATCTTGTTACCAATGTTTCTTCTTGTAGAATGAAATCAAGTAACATATCTGTCCCCATGAGGCTAGTTGAAGCTGCATGTTGGATCTCATCCATGGAACAAAGAAAAAGATGATAAATGAACTGCAGTTTTAAGGATAGCCTCAGGCTAGCCTCCCTCCAAGTCATTAGAGAGAAACAATTGACCCTGGCTCTAGAGACAGCTTATGCCAGAAGCCAAAGAAAGGAAAATTACCAACTAAATAATATACTGATTCCTAACCCTGTGAACTAGGGCACTTACAGTATATGTTCTGATATGGACTAGACAGAAAACTAGACTAATATGGCTTGGTCATAGCCTCTGTCTTTCTTGAGTCTGGGAAGATTAGACAATAAGTGGTAACATATAAGCTTGTGGCATCTTAATGACAGACTTGTGTTGGAATAAAAGCCCAGGCTTTGGCATCAGATCCCCCATTTGAATATTGACCTAGCCACCTGCTAACATTACCCTTGAACAATTTACTTAACTCTATTCCTTAGTTTTGTCACCAGCAAAATAGAGAAAAGAAAATACTTCCTTCATTACAAGAGTTGGAAATAATTTATGTAAAGCACATGCTACATCTAACATGAAATAAATATTCCAGATATGATAGCTCTGACTTAATGTCATTCAAGTTTTTTTCAGTCAAGGCTGTCTCCAGGTTACTTTCTCCAAGAATTTTAATAAAATTTTAAAAGTTGGAAACACAAAGTATTGCATTATGATAAATCCATGGCAATTATTCAAGATACATTTCAAATTAAAAGAAATTAAATTGAAATGTAGAGTGGAACACAGTATTTTGAAAAATCAGATGATATAAGTGTAGGCTCTTAGCAAAACACATTCACCCATTGCCTGTCACAAATATTACTCCATAATTTACAAATGCAAATAGAAGTAATAAGACATTATGTTACTACAGAAGGGACATAGAAAAATCAGAAAGTGTGAAGTACGTACTAATTTTCATTAGAGATATAAATGTAAATCACATTTGAAGATGCTACTATCAATGAATGCAGTGAAACTGTTCATTTTGGAAGATTGCGTGTAATGGTAATTATTCATGCTAGTACTCCCCAGTGGGACTCTACCACTTACATTCTATTTGGCAACAAGTAATGAAGTCTCAGCAATCTTAGATTTGAAATAGTTTTCTGCTTCTTTAGAGAAGGAGCCAAATCTTTAAACTATACAGATTAATCAATGGATAATTACCTAGGTACTATAAGGGAAAGCTGATACACTTGTTTATAAGAAATCTACTTTCAGGTTTGTTAAAACACACACATACACACACTTGCTGATATAGGAAATAGACTGTTAGTAGTAAGTAAGTTAATTTCTTCTGGTCAATTTACTGATCAGGAAAGTAAAGAGGAAGTTGTGGAAAGAGGAATACTTGGTTATTTTAAGAATGTTTGAGGCTTAATGATTATAGATTCTTAACTGGATGGACCCTTGAGAGCCTACTTTGACTAAATATATACTTAAACCATCTCAGAAAAAGGCACTAGAAATCTCCAGAAAATTTCCAGAGATTACACAACTCCGTCATTCCAGTAAAACCTACTCCTGATTATTGGTATTAAATAACATTTAAGATGTCCATGATAGAGGGACAAGGCCTAGTTGTCTTCGAGCCAGTCATTTTCCAAAGAAGGCAAATCAATAGGGACCTGAATGTCTCCAGTTTTCCCAGCCCAGAAAACCCAATGCTTGTTTCACTATTGGCTCCAAAAAATTGGGTCCCAGAGAATCACCATTTATGACAGATTATTTGTGCCTGTTTCATTTTTAGTCTTACGATAAGGGTGAATCAAAATAATCTCATGAAAGCTTTAGTTATAGTCACCTGTTCTAATGGAGTGACAATGCCTAGCAACATTTAAATGCTCACTATATTAGTTAAATATCAAAAGGCTGAAATCCTGATTTTGCTTAAATTGAATTCTATCACATTCCTTTTTTATCTTGCCCTTTACTCTTCTTGGATAAACAAGAAGAAAAATCAGGAATAGTTTTACTGGCACCATAAACTGACAAACTCCTAGGCACTGTTTCAACACTAGAGTTACAGGGATGAAAGACAAACTCTTTGGTCTCAAGGAGCTCAAGAAGCTCAAAGTCTAATTCTGGGGAGAGATAAAGTGAGCAGGCAAATCAGACCCGCATAACGAGCATCATGATAGAGGTAAATTTGGTGCCACTGGAACAGAGAGCAAGTGCACCTGCACGTTCTACTATAGGGTGCCAAGGAATGCTTCATAGAGGAGGAAGTGCCAGAGCTGAGTCTTGAAGAAGGAATTACAGTAAGCCAGGAAGAGAAGCTAGGAAATGATGTTATCATCTCAAGGAGATACCAATACAAAGGCCAGAGACAGAGAGTGCGAGCTGTTTTACGATAAGAGATGAAAAATAAGGAGGAGGAAGGGGAACATCACACACCGGGGCCTATTGTGGGGAGCGGGGAGAGGGGAGGGATGGCATTGGGAGTTATGTTTGATGTAAATGACCAGTTGATGGGTGCTGAGGAGTTGATGGGTGCAGCACACCAACATGGCACAAGTATACATATGTAACAAACCTGCACGTTGTGCACATGTACCCTAGAACTTAAAGTATAATTAAAAAAAAAAAAAGAAAAATAAGGAGGAAGATGAGGATGGGAAATGAATTACATCAGATCTGAGGCTACGGTGAGATAATGAGGTACCACTGAGGGGAATTTGCCTGGGGGGAGACGTGATCATTAGATTTAATTTTAGAATGATTTTTTTCCTTGCTAGTTACACAGGACATAGTTTGGAAGGAGGAGGGGACTGAACATAATTCTACATGTGAGGAACAATGTTTTTTCCTTCTTTCTTTTGCTTTTTCTCTTACTGTCTCTCTGCTAGTTTCATAAAGGGCTTAAGGTAGTAAGGGCTCAGGCAGTAGCAGAAATGGAGAGGAGCTGGTGTAATCAAGAGATATTTTGTCTTCAAAAAGGAAAGCAGTGATTTAAGAGGGCCAAATGCACAGGGTTGCAAACTTTACTAAGAATGTGTGAAACTCAGCTTGGCAGAAGGTCATATAGATAAGACCTGTTAGTATTTAGCTGAACATAAACTCAATGTAAGCCCATAGAGTAATGTAGGTATAAAACAGTAACCTTAAGTTCCTTTAATAAAAATTTAGAGCCTGGATCAAAGGGAACAATAATACTGCCATTCTCTGTGCTGATCGGATAACTGTTCCAGCCGGGATATGAACTCTAAACAAATCTTCCGGAGACAGGAATGTTATGAAGAAAGGTAAGGAGGTGGAAAATGTAAGAGGAGGTGGTAAGCATAATAATCTGATTGGAGAGTGGGTAGAAAAATATTAGAAAATAACATAGGGAAAGCAGGTTCAAATTAGACTATAGAGGCCTCATGTACCTGTTTGATGAGATTGGATTTTATTTTAGTAGGAAAAGGGGAACCATGAAGATTACTGAGTAGCATAATGACTTTAACAGAGATCTACATTAGTTAATATTGGTCTGGAGGCAAGTAAAATGCACATATAGGAAAGAGAAATGGTGACTAAGAGACCACTTACAATATCTTTGCCATGGTTTGATAAGGGCCTGGATCTAACTCTATGAGTGAGAACCTTGTTTAGTGAGTGTTTAACAAAGTAGTTCAGGTATTCATCTTTTTTATCAACAAACCTCCCAAGATACCATTCTCCTTAAAAGAATGAGGCTCACTAATGAATTTTTTTTATTAAAATCTCCCAATATGTCACTAATTAAGAATATGTATTGATTTGCATAACAGCTGAGATAAAATCTGCACTTTGCAAATTACTTAGAAAATGTTTTTGAGACAGTTCACAGTATAAGCAAGATCAATATTTAATATATTTAAGATATATTTTAGAAGCCATATTTGCATGCAAAATGTTGACATCCTAATTAAAGTATTTTCTTATTTACTCGTCATAAAATGAGCAACACATCACACATTCAATCATCTATTTGTTCCACAATACTCACTATGTGCCAGGCACTGTCCTAGGTGCTGGGGATGTAGTAGTGAAGTAAGACCACAATCTATGCAGCTTATATTCTATTGAAGGAGACAGAATACATATGATAAATAGGTAATACGTGTAGGATTTAGACCGGGCACAATGTTGACATAGGAGGGTTTTTACAAAAATTTTAAATGGTTTGAGCTTTGATTTATTGTATTTTTCACATATAAAAATCTGCTACTTAAGTTTATAGCCTGTTTTGGATGCTGAAATACTGTCATTTTGGGTAAATATTCTATGTACTAATCAAAATGGGTTTACATTCTCTGCAAAATGTTAACTGCAGTTAATACATTAATTATCTTAATGTATTAATTACATTAGTCATGTGCTATTTTTACTTTTTGTAACTTGCTCTAAAATTTGCTAAAGT